AAACTTCCCAAAATACTTTCATTTTTCTGACTTTCGCCAAATCGTGCCGAAATGACCTACGGACCTCCAAATCAACATCCGGACACGCTCCTAAGACTAAAATCACCATACGGAGCTATTGAAACTATCATAACTAGATTCTGGAGTCATATTCATACAAGTCAAATTACGGTCAACTCCTACGACTTATACCTCCAACTTAGGGATTATGTGTCATATTTCAATCTGAAACTCACCCGAAATCGAAACCAAAACCCCCATCAAGTCACATAACTACAATATAACACAGAGGAGGCAATAAATAGGGGATCGGGGCTAATACACTCAAAACGGCCGGTCGGATCGTTACATCCTCCCCTTCTTAAAATAAACATTCGTCCTCGAACGAGTATAGAGACATACCTGAAGTGGTGAAAAGATGAGGATAACGGCTACGCATATCATGCTCGGTCTCCCAAGTCGCCTCCTCGGCTGGCTGACCCCTCCACTGAACCTTTACTGAAGCAATGTTCTTCAACCTCAACTTTTGAACCTGCCTGTCCAAAATGGCCACCGGCTCCTCAATGGAAGATAAATCCTTGTCCAACTGGAGTGTCCAACACAGGAGACGGATCGTCGAGATACTTTCGGAGCATAGAAACATGGAATACTGGATGAACTGTAGCTAGACTGGGTGGTAGTGCAAGTCTGTAAGCCACCTCTCCAACCCTCTCAAGAATCTCAAAAGGTCTGATATACTTAGGGCTCAGTTTGCCCTTCTTCCCGAACCTCATAACACCCTTCATGGGTGAAACCCGGAGCAAGACCCGCTCCTCAACCATGAATGCAACATCGCGAACCTTCCGATTCGCATGACTCTTCTGTCTGGATTGGGCTGTACGAAGTCGATCCTGAATCTATTTAACCTTTTCCAAAGCACCCTGAACCAAGTCTGTACCCAATAGTCTAACCTCACCCGGCTCAAACTAACCCACCGGAGACCAGCACTGCCTATCATACAAAGCCTCATACGGGGCCATCTGAATGCTCGACTGGTAACTGTTGTTATAGGCAAACTCCGTGAGTGACAAGAACTGATCCGAAGAACCCCCAAACTCCATCACACACGCACGAAGCATATCCTACAATATCTGAATAGTGTGATCAGGATGTCCGTCCGTTTGAGGGTGAAATGTTGTACTCAAATCCACTCGCGTGCCTAACTCATGCTAAACATACCTCCAAAACTGTGATGTAAACTGTGTACCCCGGTCAGAGATGATAGATACCGGTACGCCATGAAGCCTGACAATCTTGCGAATATAAACCTGAGCCAGCTGCTCTGAAGAATAAGTAGTCACCACTAGAATGACATGAAACTTTCTCTAAGTCCGTGGAAGCCCAACAACAAAATCCATAGTAATCCGCTCCCATTTCCACTCTGGGATATTTAACCTCTGAAGCAATCCACTAGGCCGCTAATGCTCATACTTCACATGCTGACAGTTTAGGCACCGAGCTACATATTCCACTATATCCTTCTTCATCCGCCTCCACCAATAGTGCTGCCTCAAGTCCTGATACATCTTGGCAGCACCCGGATGAATGGAGTACCGCGAATTGTGAGCCTCCTGGAGAATCAACTCACGTAAGCCATCTACATTGGGCACACATACCCTGCCTTGCATCCGTAATACACCGCCATCCCCAATAGTGACCTCCTTGGCATCCCCGTGCTGAACTATGTCCTTGAGGACAAGCAGATGGGGTTGTCATACGGACGCTCTCCGATCATAAAGAGAAGACCTAGAAACCACACAAGACAAAACTCGACTTGGCTCAAAAACATCCAATCTAACAAACTGGTTGGTCAAGGACTGAACATCCAAGGCTAATGACCTCTCTGCTACCGTTAGATATGCTAAACTGCCCAAGCTCTCCGCCTTGCGACTCAAGGCATCGACCACCACATTGGCCTTTTCTGGATGATATAGAATGGTGATATCATAGTCCTTAAGCAACTCTAACCACATCCGATGCCGCAAGTTAAGATCTTTCTATTTGAACAGATGTTATAGACTTCGGTGGTCGGTGTAGACCTCACAAGGGACACCGTACAAATAGTACCGCCAGATCTTCAAGGCATGAGCAATAGCTACTAACTCAAGTTCGTGGACAAGATAGTTCTTCTCATGCACCTTCAGCTGTCTAGACACGTAAGTAATCACCCTACCGTCTTGCATCAACACCGCGCCGAGACCGATATGCGACGTATCACAGTATAAAGTATAAGACCCCAAACCCTAAGGAAACACCAACACTGGGTTGTAGTCAAAGTTGTCTTGAGCTTTTGAAATCTCTCCTCACACTCCTCTGTCCACCTGAACGGAGCACCCTTCTGGGTCAATCTGGTCATAGGTGCTGCAATAGACGAAAAACCCTCTAAACATCGACGATAATACCTTGTCAAACCAAGAAAACTTCAGATCTCTGTAGCTGAAGATGGTCTGGGCTAACTCTGCATTGCTTCAATCTTCATCGGATCAACCTTGATCCCCTCACTCGACACTACATGACCCAAAAATACCACCGAATCAAGCCATAATTCACACTTTGAAAATATTGCATATAACTTCTTTTCTCTCAAGGTCTGAAGCACGGTCCTCAGGTGCTGCTCATGATCCTCCCGGCTCAGGGAGTACACGAGAATGTCGTCAATAAACACAATGACGAAAGAGTCGAGATATTGCCGGAATACACTTTTCATGAAGTGCATGAATGCTGCTGGGAATTTGGTCAGCCCAAAGGACATCACAAAGAACTCGTAATGACCATACCGAGTCCTGAAGGCAGTCTTCGGGATATCTGGCTCGCGAATCTTTAAATGATGATAGCCTGAATGCAAGTCAATCTTGGAGAACACTCTGGCACCCTGTAGTTGATCAAAGAGGTCATCAATGCGTGGTAATGGATGCATGTTCTTCACTGTAACCTTGTTCAACTAGATATAATCAATGCACATGCACATAGAACCATCCTTCTTCTTTGCAAACAAGATCGGAGCACCCCAACTCTGCAAGTAACTTTGCAAACATATCACAATTATCACCAGAATACCAATTCCTAAGAGGAATTTCCCCCACACAAGGTTAGACAAGTCACTTACCTCAAACCACACTAAATCAATCAACTAGGTCTTTCCCTCAATTTTCCAACTTTGAACGGCTCGAACCTAGCTAAAACAGTTCCATACTATACATATAACTATAGAAAACTAATTTAAACAATGAAATTACGATCTTTGCAAAGAATTGAAAAATGGACCCAAAAAGTCACCCCGGACCCGCGTCTCGGAACCAAGCCAAATTTACAAAAATCGAACACCCATTCGATATCAAGTCCAACCACACAAGAATTATTCAAATACGACCTCATTTCGCCTTACAAAACTCAAAAATTTAGCCTAAGAAGTTTTATCACTTTTCCCCAATTTTTCCAATTTCAAATCCCTAATTACATGATAAAAATAATGATAGATTCGAGTAATTTAACCAAAATCGAGGATCCTTACCCCAATGTGAAATTTTGCCTCAAACCGATCTCTCTAAGTCCAAAATGTGAAATGTGGAAGCCCTCGATTTTGAAACTTAAGTATGTTGCCCAGTTATTTCTTCTTCGCGAACGCGAAAAATGCCTCGTGTCGCGAAGCACAAAATTATTACGGCCCAGATTTCCTCCTATGCGAATGCGGTGACAAAAGTTCTCAAGCTTCGCGGCCGTGAAGCTCTTCTCGCGAATATGTAGACCAACGCGTGAGTCCCCATCCCAGGCTCCCTTCCTTCTTCGCGAACGCGGATCCCAGTCTGCGATTGCAGTGCACAAGGTCCTTGTCCTTTGAGCAAATCTCATAATACTCTACGCGAATGCGGGAACACCTTCGCGAGCGTGTAGAAGAAAACCAGACCTGAGAAAATTTAGCACTTCAGTTATTCTTCAATGATCCGAAAAGCGCCGAACATGGTCTGAATTCCACCCGAGGTCCCCGGAGCCTCAACCAAACATACAAACAAGTCGTAAAACATCATACGAACACTCTCGAAGCGTCAAATAACATCAAACAACACAAATTCTATGAATCGCAATCCAAATTCAAGCCTATGAACTATGAAGTTCTAAATTCTGAAACCAATGCCGATTCATACCAAAAAACTTCGATTGACACCAAAGTTTGCACACAAGTCATAAATGACATTACAGGACTATTCCAACTTCCGAAATCGGGATCCAACCCCGATATCAATAAAGTCAACTCTCGGTCAAACTTCTCAAAAATCTTCCATTTTTCTGACTTTCGCCAAATCGTGCCGAAACGACCTACGGACCTCCAAATCAACATCCGGACACGCTCCTTAGAGTAAAATTACCATACGGAGCTATTGGAACCATCATAACTAGATTTTGGAGTTATCTTCACACAAGTCAAACTACGGTCAAGTCCTACGACTTAAACCTCCAACTTAGGGACTATGTGTCAAACCTGCTAGTGGAGGAAGACCTCCTAGGGATAAGAGACATAGGATTAAAAAGAGATCCAAAAAAGGATCTTTTGTGTATAATCCTGCATAATCTCAAATGTTATCAGTTCTGGTACGTAGACCAAATAATACAATGCAAGCAAAAGTTCCTAGATTCATGGAGATATAGGACAACATATAAGTTATCATGCTTGCATATACATCATTTGAGTCTCCAACAATTATTACAATAATTACATATCCGATTTAGCCTATGGACGAATATGCAAGCATACGTTCCATACTTGTCTGAGTAATAGCAATGAGATTTCCCAATATCATGCTAAGAATAGCTAGGATTTCCAAAAGTGAAATCTGAAACTCACCCGAAACCGAAACCAAAATCCCCGGCAAGTCACGTAACTACAATATAACACATAGGAGGCAATAAATAGGGGATCAGAGCTAATACACTCAAAATAACTGGTCGGATCGTTACAATTACAGATACCTAGACTTCTGTTGGTGTGGTACTTGCTGCCTCGCAATGCTACGGGGAAGGTGAGTTGTTCCTAACCTTGCTAACCAGTGGCGGATCCAGAATTTTTAAATTATGGGTGCTTAACTATTTTTTATCTGAAAATTACTACTGAGACTGGATGCTCAGCTAACATATTTGTATGAATTACTAATTTTTCTATACAAGTAGCAGTGTGTGACTGCAAAAGTAATGGGGTCATAACTCAATACATAGATCCACCATTGTTCCTAACCTATAAACCTAGTGTTTGCACCAAACTAATAAGTGCATGATAAACATAATTTATTCTTTTTACTCTTAACTAAATTTATCACGTGATTTTGGTAAATTCATTTACTTTGGTGCTTTGCACCGGTGCAGGTAAGTTCATTTCATTTTAAGAACATTGCTCCGGCATTCTCTCGCTTATATTTGTGTGTATTCAGAAGTTCCTATCTCTAAGAAACTCATGCCAGGTCTTGTACTCTTCTGTTCTTGCTTTTTATTCCTGATTTTAGGTAAATAAAAAGGAGCTGAAGGAAGGGTTGGCTTATGACTTATGATAAGTTTAAATGTCAGCATATAGAGGTCGAGAATGAAATATTGGAAGGTAAAAAATTGCGTACTCTCTGTTGTTATTTGTTCTTTTTAATTAGGCAAGGCACTGCATGCTGAATTAGCTGATCCATGATCCTGTTAATTATTTTGTTTGAGACCTTTTAGTCATACAATGATGACTTTTGGATCTGAATTACTGTTTGTATTCTTTTATTTTCATTTTCAATTTGAATGGTAATTATTCTTTTTCATTTCTTTTTTCTTTTGACAGCAATTAAGCAACATCCAATCTTTCTCAACGATTTGTAAGCTTGAAGGCCTATTCTCTACGGAAGGATACAAAGACTAGGTCTTTCATCCAACTCTTTTTTACATAAAGCAGTGACAATCCATTGGAGTGAAGTTAAATTGTTAGGGACAAGCAAGACAGGAGAAATGTTCTCAAAATCTAATTGTCGTTCCCTTCTCCTTTGGCACGCTTATCCACAATGCTAAACATCACACTTTCTAGCAGATTTGCCTTGGTCCACATGCAAGACTAGACATATTATTGTAGGCAACTACAATACTTTTATTAACTGTGAGTTCTCTAGACGACGTTATCGTTATAGTTAACATATATACATCAATATTTAATGAAAAGTAACTGAACCAAAAGTATTTGACAGGAATTATGATGAGTATTAAATTTGGGAGGGTTGAAAAAAGCTAAAACGATAGAAAGAATGTTAAAAACGACGAACCGTCGCATGTCTCACACATAGTTGAAAGAATTACCTCCTTTGTCACTTGGCGCAAGTTTGAAATTCTTATCCGATTTGGTCTAAGGTTGTACATAACCTGAAAGAAACTTTTCAGTTTTTAGCTCATTATTAAAGATACACTCTAGAGTTTTTTATTTTCTTCTTTTCATTCCGAGTACACTCAAATTTCTCTCCACTCACCTCTCTCTGCTTTCTCTTTTCTTTCTCTTCTGTAACTCACATAAATCTTAATATTTATAGATCTCAAACTTGATTTAAAGTATTTTCTCTACTAAGTTCTTAAATCTTCCCAAATATTTATAGATCTCAAATATTTGAATCTCAATTGATGGGTGTCCAAATTTGAAGTTGAAGTTTTGTTACGGCCAGATTCGAAACTCCATTTGAAGCTCGAAGTTCAACTCAGATCTGAAAATGCTATTCTAAAGCAATTGGGTTAAATTAAAAATTATTGTAAAAGTTCGTAGTAACTTGAATCTAGAGTGTCGGGTTGATTGGGTTTGATTAACGTTGGTTTTGGAAATCATACCAGTTGAAAAAGAAAGTTGAAGAAGAAACCTAGTTTTCGTATACAATGTTATATATCATTATACAATATTATACAATGTTATACAAAATTATAATAAGTGTATAATGTTGTATAATATTGTATATTTGGTGTGAAGATACTCTTATACAATATTGATCTTTTTGTTCACAGTGTTTTTTCATTCCTTCTTTTGAAGTAAGTTTTTATTTTACTGTAGTAATTTTAGTTGTATTGTAAGCGATCCGAACCTACCCTTGGGGTACATTTTATTTGGATTTTTCTTTTTTCTTTTATTTCGTATCTTCTATGTTTTTGGTTAACACTGATTTTGCTTTTCTGTGCCAGTAAAAAGTTATACAAAGTTATACATTTCATAGACAAATTTATACAATGTTATACATGTAATGCACATGTGCAGCTAAAATTGAGTGTTTTCTTACTTTTTTCGAACAATCTATGTGTTAATTGACTTTTTTATTGATTTTTCTGCCAAATCATGAACTTGCAGCAATATTTTTAAATTTTTGTTTTTTTGATTCCTGCTATTTGAAACTTGGGAAAGAATAGAATTTAAGGTTTTTGAGTTGTATGATGTATGGTTTTACATTTTTTGTAGTTGGAATAATAATGTATGTATATGAACTTAGGGAAGAAGAATGGAATTTTCACGTTTGAAGATATATGCAGAATAAAAGAAAAGAAAAGGCTCTTTTTTAAACATTGGCCTATTATCTTTGAACTATAGATTTGCAAAGTTGTAATTGGACTATTATGTTGCAATGTATGTGTATGAGTTATACATATGCATAATTCCCTCCACATAATTTACAAAGAGAATTGTCGTATTAAAGCATAAAATAAATCTAGTGGCAGGGGATCATGTGCTAAGCATGCCCAAACTCAACTCAAAAAATTAAGTAGGCGTTGGGACATAAACAAAAGGTGACTTTTGAAGAGAAAAAAAGTATTCCCTTCAATAAACTTTAATTGACTTTTTGGCTTTTTTTACACTTATTAAGGAATTCAGTTTAGCATTAATTAATTAATAATAAAATTGACTACATTTAGCTTAATGTGTTCAGTAAAAATATAACAAATACTACTAAGCTTTTTACTCCAATTGCAACTTTGGAAAAAGAAAATTAATTCCTTTTTGATATCTAAATTAAATATTGTGGATCATAAGAAAAGGCAAAAAAACGTAGGAAGCAACTTTTAGCGTTAAATTGGAAAAAAAATATTTGAAATTTAAAATTATGTTATGACATGTATTTCGCTTAAAAAAATTACAGTTTTGAGAAAATACCCAAATATTGTTAATAATTGAAAAAATTGACATCTATGTATAATAAAAGGAGAGGCAAAAGTACTATATTAAAACAAGTGGCATAATCACAAAAAGCCAAGTTGCATTGTTAAGACAAAATAAACTACCTTTCTAACTAAAAAAACCTTTTGAATTTTAAATTTTAAATTATTTTGTTTCTCTACTTAAATTAATAAATATAGATATCTTATAATTATCTATAAAAAAAATAAAAATAAAAAAATAAAAAATAAAAAACTACTCATTCAAATTAGAGAGTAGTTTCAAGTTGGAGTTTTAAAATTATTTTAAAATAAAAAATAAAAATATAAAACTACTAATTCAAATTGGGGAGTAATTTCTTTCTAATATAGTAGTCTATATTAGACAAATCCTAAGAGGATTTTTCCCACGCGTTAGACAACTCACTTACCTCAAAACTCGCTCAATTAATCGATAAGGATGTCTTTCCCTCCATTTTTTGACTCCAAATGGCCCAAATCTAGCCAAAAGCAATTACATATCATGAATACAACTACAATAAACTAATTTAAATAATGAAAGTACGACTTAAGCACAGAATCGAAAAATCGCCCCAAAAAGTCGACCCGAGCCCACGTCTCAAAATCGGGTAAAAGTCATAAAATACGAACACCCATTCGATATCGAATTCACCCATACTAAAATTACCAAAATTCGACACCAAGTCGCCACTCAAATCCCCAAATTACACTCTCCAAACCCCTAGCCTCAAACTCCCACACTCCACTTTAAACACACATAATCTAGGTGGAAAAATAAATGGGAAAATAAGGTTATTGATCAAAAATAAGTACAAGGGACTTATCTCAAAAAATCCCTCGAAAACGCTCTCAAATATCGCCAAGACCCGAGCTTAAAATCTTTAAAATGAAGCAAAATTGTGAACCCTTGTATTTAAGTATTTTGTCCAGCACTTCCGCTTCTGCGGATACTTAGCCGCATCTGCGGCATCGTAGAAGCGACAACTTATCCGCTTCTTCGGTTTCCCTCGCACCTGTAGTCTCCTCATCCGCTCCTGCGGACTCGCGTCTGCAGACTCCCAGCCGCTTCTGCGGTCCCAGCTGCCTCGCCCATTTCCGCTTATGCGGTCACTCTTCCGTAGGAGCGACTCCGCTTCTGTGGTCTTCACGTCGCATCTACGACCACTGGCCAAGTCTCCCAGCCCCGCATCTGCGCCCAATTGCTCGCTTCTGCGGGCTCGCACCTGCGATCAATCTTGCGCAGGTGCGATTACACCAGAACTGGTGCCTTCAGCCATTCTCACAAGTCCAAATTTGATCCATTAACCATCCGGAATCCACCCGAGGCCCTCGGGACTTCATTCATAATTACCAATAAGTCCTAAAACATCATACGGACTTAGTCGAGCCCTTAAATCACATCAAACAACGCTAAAAACATAAATTGCGCATCAATTCAAGCCTAATGAACTCTAAAACTTTAAACTTCTACATTCGACGTTGAAACCTATCAAATCAAGTTCGATTGACCTCAAATTTTGCACACAAGTCATAATTGATATTACGGACCTACTCCAACTTTCAGAATCAAAATCCAACCCCCATATCAAAAAGTTCACTCCCGGTCAAACTTCTTCAAAACCATCCCATTTTCCAACTTTCGCCAATTGACGCTAAAATGACCTACGGACCTCTAATTCAACATCCGAACACGCTTCTAAGACCAAATTCACCCTACAGAGCTATTGGAACCGTCGAAACTCCATTCCGGAGTCGTATTCACACAATTCAAACTACGGTCGATTCCTAGAACTTAAACTTCCATTTTAGGGACTATGTGTCCCATTTCACTCCGAAACAAAAAATAAATCCTCCCCGCAAGTTACATAACCACAAAAAGAAATAAAAGGAGCAATAATTAGGGGTTCGGGGCTAATGCTCTCAAAACGACCGTCCGGGTCATTACATCCTCCCCCTCTTAAACAAACGTTTATTCTCGAACGAGTATAAAGACATACCTGGAGTGGTGAAAAGATGAGGATAACAGCTGCACATATCATGCTCGGTCTCCCAAGTCACCTCCTCGATCGAATGACCTCTCCACTGAACTATCACTGATGTGATGTTCTTTGACCTCAACTTTCAAACTTGTCTGTCCAAAATGGCCACTGGCTCCTCAACATAAGATAGATCCTTGTCCAACTGGACTGAGCTGAAGTCTAACACATGAGATAGATCATCGTGATACTTCCGGAGCATGGAAACATGGAATAGTGGATGAATTGCATAGAGAATAGGTTGTCGTGCCAGTCTGTAAGCCACCTCTCCAACCCTCTCAAGAATCTCAAAATGCCCAATATACCTAGGGCTAAACTTGCCCTTCTTTCCGAACCTCATAGCACCC